TCTGGGCTCAGGGCAGTGGTGAGTCCAGTTCACAAGCATACCGGATACAGGAAAAGGCATGGGGGATGTGTGTGAAAACAGGGTGAGAATCAAGGCCTTTGGGATCTGAGGAAGGAGTGCTTTTCAGTGCTCGGGTGTTCAGGCATACTGAGCTCAGTTCCTGTCTCCCTTTGGCTGTATGGCCTTGGGATCTGATTTTGAGAAGGGTTGAGTTTAACGGAAGCAGTAAATGCCGAGACCACCTGAAACTCAAATGCTCTCCTTCCCGCGGGGCTTATTTCACCTAGACTTGTAAGAAGCTTGAAGTCCTACTTTGACAGGTCGCCAAAGAAAGCAAAGGACTTCAATCGTTGCTGCCATCAGTGCACATGCACAGAAACCTGAACAGACCACAACTGTGAAGGCTCCAAGGCAGCAAGGCCTGATGGAAATGAGAAACCTCATGAGCTATGAAAATTTCATCAGCTGGCGCTATGGAAGCAAGAATCTGGAAGTGCAGAGCAGATGGGCAGCCTGGATTCTTGAAGCCATTGTCCTTCTGATTGTTATCTGACTCTGGCATAGGGAGGATTTGGAGAATTTATGGGGGCACAAGGACCGAAGGCTATCTTGAAATATCCCTGCCTGACACGTGGCGTGGTGCAGATGCAATTGCTGGGTGCGCAGCAGAGGTTTTTGCACAATATTCCCAAGGTCATGGAAGCAGGGTCCTGCTGAGCACCTGTCTTTTATTGTGTAAGAGAGGGGACCGTGTGGGCAGAGCTTGCAGTGCTGCAAGCTGGTACTATCTGAATGCAAATCTGAAGGCTTTGTAAATGCTGCACATCATCCAAATACTATCATTGTGACTGTTCTCAGCCACACGAATTTCCTCTGGAGTAGGCTCCAATATTTACCATGTGAATAATCATTTCAGGAGCTGTTTGTGAAAGAAACGATAGTAGGGAAAGGGAGCGGAAGGTGAGCAAGTCCACGCACCAGACATGGGAGGCAACAAAGTACCTGTGTGAGGTACTCAGAGTGGAATAAATGGAGCAGTTTGTGTCAAGATTAAAATGTGTTGACTTCTTGAAGTCCCAAGGCTAGAACAACAGAGTGGAAGATTTTGCAAATGAAGACCGAAGCACGTTAATAAATTGCATCCAGGTTGGACTAGCCCTTGTTTGCCTTTGACTAGAACACACTGTCCTCAGCCCCTCTGCTTTAAGAATGCAGCAGTCGCCCTTGAGGCTTTTAGGCAGATTTTCCGATTTACTCCCCCCCTGCTCCTTCTCCTCTCACGGAGGACCCTTCCCTAGTGACAGGCTGTGATGCGCGGCAGTCTGTCACCGTGTTTCTCAGGAAGCGAGGCACATAACAAGGGGAAGGAGCTAACCCTGGACACTGGATCCCAGTGAATTGTCCTGGCTGGCAAACACCTGAAGCGGGTGGCTCACTTTGGGGTCCCAAGTACACCCTCAGGCCTTTTTTCTGCCATCCTCATCAACTCAGGGGCTGAGCTGCCTCTTTTCAAGGTCTGCTCTCAGCTCTGTAACCTCGGAGATGGCCGGTGCGGTGCCCAAAGGCTGCAGCCCGCCTGCTCAGCTGGAGCCTTCAGAAGCACAAGGCAGGGTCTTCATCCTTCCCCAGCCGGGCGAGAGGCCTCTGCCAGCGCAGTGCTGCGGACGGCAGCTGAGCAGCCGGCGGGCCACCCCGTGTACTTCCACACGTCTGAAGGGACCTCACCCTGCCAGCTTCCCACCCGAGGGCACACGGTCCCGCTTAGCCGCTCTGCTCCTGCGCCATGCCCCGGGCACCGCCTCTTCTCTCCCCCCCCCTTGGCATTCAGGTTCGCTCGTCCCGACCCTCCCCCCCGCGCGGCCCCGTTGGTTTCGTCTCGTAGCCCCTCTCCCTCGGCCCGCCCCTCTCCTCGCGTTGCCGCGGTGACGGGGGAGACGCGCCGCGCGCCGCCACGCCTGGCCCCGCCCCCCCGCTTGCCGGCCGATGACGCAGCTGCGCTGCGGCGTGGGGATTCCGCCGGATTACCCGGCGTGCCCCGCGGCAGAATGGCGGCCTGAAGCGGGAGCGTGGGGCCGAGCCGAGCGGGGGCAAAGTTTGGGGCGGGCTCGAGGTGGGGCCGAACCTTGGCAGAACCGGCCGCAAAGTCACTGGGACCCCGGGCGGAGCCGAGCCCGACAGGGTCAGAGCCGGGCTGGGGCCCTAGGGGCGGGGAGCGGGGAACGCGACCGGCTCGGGACTGAGCCCGGGCCCAGGCGGGGCCCCTTTGCGGCCCCGGCCTCGGCGGCCTTGCCGGGCGGGCTTCCCTGCGAACGGGAGGGCTCTCCTTGTTCCCGTGTGTGGGCCGGGGTCGGGAGGAGGTGTCGCGTTCCCCGAGGGCTGCGGGTCTGGGAGGCTCGCACCCTGGGCAGGGGCAGTCAGCCAGGCGGGGTGGGTGGCGGGTGGTGGCCGGGTGCGGGAGCATATTGGGGCCGCAGCCTCGGCCCTGAGGAAGGGGCCGTCCCCATGGGGAAGGCTGGTAGTACTACTGCCTCGGCCATCAGGGCTTTAGGGAGCTCTCCTTCCTGGGGGAGAGATCTGTGGTGGGGAGCAGAGCAGGCATGGAAGCAGCAGGCCAGGCTAGGTCTGTGCAAGGTGTAGCCTTGTCTGGGTGATGGGAGAGGTAGGTAGTGGGGAGATGTGAAAGCTGTATCTGTGCAGGGAGCATTGCTGAAGTAGGGGCTGGAAGGTGGAAGAAGTCTGCACCAGCATGTGTGTGTCAAAGAACCAGAGTATCATTGACAGAGGCAGAACTGGAAGGGAGGCAGTAGTACTTGTCTTGTGCCAAATCTGGCGGGGGGGATTGGAAATTTTCTACCAGCCTGAACATCCTCTCTAGTGGAAGAGGTGCTTCCTGCTATAGAATTAGTGAGTGGCCCCTGGGAACATATGAAGACTCTAAAGAAGAACAGACAAACAGTAAATACTGAGCTGCCTCTTGCTTTGGGCTTGAGCACACTGCATGGAGCAGAGTAAAAGATCAAATGCTAATAAACAGATTTGTAGATGGGCAGGAGATTGTACTGGTAGGCATCATAGTGTGCAGGTGATGTGCAAGTCTGGCAAGGCTGAGAATGACCTAGATCTGAGAGATGCCAGGTGTACATTGTCCACTGAAAAGAATCATCCATCAAAGGTTGATAGTTCTGTGCCAGCAAAAGCTTTTCAGAGGTATGCATCTCTGTTTTACAGATTCAGAGAAAACTGAGATAAAGGGCCTATGTAAGAGGAAGCAGTGGGTCCTTATTGAAGCACCAGACAGCAGGTAAGAAAACCAGGAACGAGCTGATGCTAAGTCAGACTGCATTCTTTTGATCCCACTACTTACTTTTTTTTTGAGGATATGTGAACCACGTACCTTAAAAAGTGTCCTTCTCTGTGGTGCTCTCTGCATCATGGTAGGCCTGTGTTGCCTGCATTGAGAAGCCAGGGGTGTCAATGAATTGGGAGTGACTCTGAAAAATTCATTTAGAGCTCCTGGGAGGAAATTTCAATTAAAGCTGTAAGCCAGTGCTCATCACATGCCACCCAGAGAAGCAGTCCAAAGTCTGCACTTTGAAGTAGCTGCGTTGTCTGTGTAATCACAAGAGGTGCCAGAATCCCAATGAAATCCTTCTGACGGTGTGCTCTTGCCATAATTGCAATGCCAAAGTTAAGTAATTCTAGTGACCCTTTCTTCTGTTAGATTATTTATTCCAACCACATTGTTTTTTCCACACGTATTTTAACTGATCCCTTGATGGTTGCTGCAGGTGTACTGCTGGCCTTTCTGTCCTCTCCTGAACTCACTGTTGAGATCCAATTTGAAGGAGCAGCTATTTGGTACCCAAGCAGCTGGTCCTTTGATTATACCTTTCAGGACTTATCAAATCACTTTTAGTACAACTCCTTTTCTTCACTTACTGAATCACTGCAAAAAGTGTATGTATCCCAATAGTGCTTTGCATACAGTGTGTTTCAGCTTCTGGATGTTAAATCAGCATTTAAGCAAGCAGGTCTTAGCTGTGGTATTATGAGCTTTTGGCTATCCATTTTTTCCCAGGCACACAGTGATCTTGAAATCATGGGAATGTATTTCGGCAGGGCCAGCAGAGTTCCAAAGTGCAAGCCATGGCTATCTTCATCTTTAATATTAACAATGCAGTGGGTCAGGAGAGGAAGAATTATGTGTCAAGACATGTTGCCTCTTCAAACCAGCTTTCTGAACCAAAGATGACCTTGCATTCTTTTCCAGTCTGTTTCAGGTTGTCTGTTGGCTGCTAAGTCACTTGCTATGCAGCTTTGAAGCCCTGAATTCTTACCTCTGCTATCTGCTCTAACTACGATCATGTGACATAGTATGTAGGGGAAATAGACTACAGCTATGAAAGAGGTCCAGTCCTTCGCAGGTCAGCCCCCTTTTTTGCCCCAGAGCAGGACAAGTAAAGTCAGATGGGATAAATTTTGGTCAATGTGCTGGTGTGAATGGTGCCAGAGCTGTTTTGGAGAAAGGGTTTGTGGTGTGGCATATAAAGTGCTTTTAAAAAGGTGAAGAAAGCCAAGCTATTTGAAAAATAGCAAAGTAAACAAGTTTCAGTAATATGCCACTGTATTTTTTGGTAGTTGTTTGAAATAGACTCAATGCTTGTGAGTTCTGGAGGTGAGCTCCCTAACCTCTTAAAATGTCTGCTGTGTTTTATGGTGGGTTGACTGAAAACGACTCTGGGATTTCTGTGTATTGACACATCTATAGCATGGTCCCATTAAGTAGTTCTGGAGCTCATAACAAATTAACAGTGTTGTGTACTTGTTAGCAAGGGTCTAGCTTTTACAGCACAGTGTGACAAGAGTAATGCCATTCATGTTGCTGGGAGATGTACAATATGTAGGGGTCTCAATGAGTCTGCATATGGTACAGATTGAGAGCAGGATTCCTTTGCTAAGAAATGAAGATCTGGCTTTTTGGCTCATCTCTGCTCTTTTGACTGGGTTGTCAGGAACTGGAATTGTCATAATAGAGCAGAATTTCTTGGCTGTTCAACTTAGTTGATGCTTTGAGATTAAATTTAAGGCCCTGAAGCTGTGTACGTTCATCTCCTTGCTTGAAGACTTTGGCTGGGGAGATATCCCCTTTTCATACGACACCTTGAGCTATGGAGAGAGTAAGTGCTTGTGGCATTTGTGCTAGCTGTTTATATTTCAAGTCACTAATAACTAGGTAAATATGATCCTCTCTGAGGAGGATGCTTTTTTACATAGGACAGCAAAGGAGCTATGTCCGTAATCTGCACAAACAGTGCTGATGCCTTAGGGCATGAAATCGTCCATCCTGTTTCCCTGCCAGTTCCCCTGCCTGAGGGCTTTTCCTTAGATCTAGATTGGCTGAGTTTGTAACTGCAGTAGGAAGAATGTTACTTTTAAAAACTGAAGTACCTTTACAGCTGGTTGGAGGGGGAAGGGTGACCTGTGGTCAGAATTCTGAACTACAGTGTAGGGTACCTAATTTCTGACAGATTTATTGTGTGTGTTCAGGTTGTTACTGTTTCTTGCTCTTCATTCTTTGGTTGCAGTATACAGTTGACACCCATCTTATTGGTGATTTGAGGAAGAGTTCCTTAAGTGTCTACAAGATGCTTGGATACTGTGGTGTTGAATGCTTTAGTAAAGTTCAGTGGAGGAGAGATGAAAATGATATTCCAAGCTATGAGTTCAAAATGAGGTGGCCTCCTGTGTGATCCTCTGTCCTGGGTATTCTGTAGCATGGTGAAATTGCTATAGAGTGGAAGTCAGGCCCTACCTTGTTTAAGACAACTAGGCACTTTGAGATTCTCTCCATTCTTTACTTTCCCAGGAGCTGTTTGCTTGTTTTCCTGGCTTTTAACACCTAGCTGAATCATTTTGACTTTAATTGATCTTCTCTCTTTTTTGCCCCACCATTTGTTCAAGACTTGGAAATTGTTCTGTTCATGTCAGGATGGTTATGTATGATCTTACTGCTTATATCCTCAGACAGAGAGGGTTGAAGGCAGCAGCTTGCAGGCTGGCTCGTATTTGGAATGACATGAGCCACCCTCTCTGGAGTGTTGTCCTGTGAGCTGTGCTTAGGACGGAAATGGCATGGAAGGCCCTGTAGGAGTGTGAGAATAACATTGCAATGGTTGGAATGCAGGATAAGCATCACTTGGGTGGGCTCAGTTTTCCTCTGCTTTTCAACAATGCTGGGTGCCAAGCCTGAGGAAGACCGCTGTGCAGAGGTGAAGGAGCTGGAATGTATTCTTCAGTTGAGGTGAATGCAATTCAGTGAAACTGATAGGCATCAAACTGAATAATGATTTTAAAGTATTTTCACATGATGTCTAATCTGTGGAAATTCACTACCACATAATAGCACTGAGGCTAAGAGCTGAGCAGGATTCAGAAAGATCAAGCGCTTATGAGTGGAAACGTTCAGACTTGCTTTAGCTAAAGAGCTTGCTTTAGAAGGTGTATTTTTCAGACACAACCCAATCTCTTAACAGGTAAAGGTTTGAAGAAAGGGCAGTTTGTTCCATAATTGTCCACTGAAGCTTTTTGCTCCATCTTTTAAACCACCTTGTATTGGCCCACATCAGAGGCAAAGGCACTGAATCACACGTATTTGCTGTTAGGTGGCCACTAACCTTTTTTTCGGTGATAACTGCATTAGTTAAAAAACCATCAGCCAAAACACAAACCCACAAAGCACTCCAGCTGCTTTGATTAGGCCTGGTGCTTGAGGATTTTAAGCTGGTGAAGAGCAGGGTCCTTGGAAAGATAGTGCAGTCCACAGATAAGGACTGTCTTATTCGTGAATGTGAACACATATAAGTATTGTCTCTTCATGCCAAGTGGTCAGGAAAAGCACTTTGTGCTTCCTGCTGTTGCTTGTAAAAAGGGAAAGAATGTGTGGAGTTTGGCCTTTCCACGTTGCAGTCTTGTAGTGGACTTTAGTCCAGAGGGCAGTTGAAATGAAGGGCTTTAAGGCTGTTCGAGTGAGATCCAGTATGTTGTAGTGTGAGCCTCAGCACACTAGTGTCTGAGAAGACAGTCTGTGTCCTGTGCTCATGTCCAATCTATGTTGAGGATCAAGAGAATCATCAGTGCTGCTTAGTCAAGTAGGCATAAATTCTGTTTGATGAATAGGCTAATAAAGGTAAGTGGCAGCGGTATGGAGGCACATGTACAAAGGTGTATGTTTGTAAGGTTTTCCTAAATGCAAGGGGTCCTCCTGAAGAAGAAGGTGTGCATGAGGGGATTCTCTGAGCTAGGAGCAGGTCATGCAAACCTTGAGATCCCTGTATGGGTGCCCTCTTTATGGGCTGTTCTAGGAACAACATGTGCTTTAGGGTACAATGTAACCCTTTTGTGACAGGCGTAATAATGGCTGAGTAAAGGATTACTGATGTTCACAGAGGTTTTGTGGTGCTGAGAAAATGAAACGGGTCAGGATTGGAAAATAAGGTTTCTTGCAAGGGTTAGGCTGGTTTTCAGACACAGAGAATCTTGCTTGCTGCTGGTGGCAAGAGAGAACTGGTTTAAATTTCTGATTTCTGGAGGTCAGCAAATTCAGAACTGAAAGTCCCATAGTGACTACTGTGTCTTTGCTCGAGTTCAATATTTGTATTTTGAGTCCGTGATAAAGCTTGCTTTGGCAATGCTGTGGGAGTCATAACTGGATTTTCTTACTCTTGTGTTTAAAGTCTCAGTTGTCCAGCTGCATTAATGTGACACTCATGCATGAATGGTTGTGAAATTAAAAGGAACACATGGGGTAGTTTCTTTAACTATTGGAGAATTATACTCAGGCTCATAAACAGCCTTACAGCATTTGTAACAAAATAATTTAAGTTTTTCCTGAGATTAATAATTAGATAATCATTGTGGCAGTAAGATTTTTGACCATTATTTTAGCATATGCTACTCAGGGTAACTACTTTTAGACCTGGGTGCACAAGCTTTCTACAATTCCCAGAGATGCCTTGTTTCATTATCTCCTAAATCAGATTTCATCCTGCAGCTTTTCTGTTCATTATTGAGGGCTTGGCTGCTGCCCGTTGGGAGGTGACTTGAAATCTAGTCTGTTTCACATAACTTAAAAGTGATTGCAGTTAGTTCCACTGTCTGTTTTTTCTTGTGTGTTTTTATTTATATTTATTTTCCCTTATGGAGAACTCTTCCCTTTTCCCTTTTACATGTGGGAGATCTATACCCAGTGTACTGTGTGCACAGTCCTTTTCGGGAGGGGGGAAGAAAATAATGTAAAATGACAGGATATTTGTTTAAAATTAAAATTGTTTTAAGTAACCTTTCTTGAGAGTGGACTTCAAGTTCACATCCTACCTTTAAGGGGTTTTATTTTTCTGAGCAGAAAGTGTCTCATGCACTAAAATATGCAAAATATATTTCTTGAACTTTTAGAATTGAATTTCTAAGCATTGCTTGCACTATGGCTATGTAAATGCCATGAAATAAAAACTGCTCAGAAGGATTTTCTCAGGTGACTGCGTTTTGCTAGCGATACACTCTATAGTAGATGTTTGTGTAGGCACTCAATCTAATTTCTTCTTGGGTTAGTGCAGAGTGTCATTTTTGGGAAGCTTCTTGTACCAGGTTAGATTGATTCCTGAAAGGAAATCACCCTTGCTGGGCTGCAGAATTTCTGCAGAATCTACTTACAAGTGTATCCGTTTTCCCTTGATTAGATGATGCCTTTGTAAATAGGTCCCCAGGTGCATCTGAAATGGCTATAAGAGAATTCAGTGTCATCAAGGCTCCAGCTGGATGGGTAGAACTGTATTACTATGCAGCTCCAGAGATGATTTACTACCTGACTGACAACTTGCAATATAAACATTAGTCCAAGCATGATCTTGTCCCAAAACCCTGCCTGCACAGGGAGCCAGGAGTCTTCCTGCCACACGCCATAAATCGTTTATGGTTTGCTCATGCTCGTACATTTGAAAACCAGCTGTGTACTGGGGATTAGCAGTTTGCAGAAGGCCCGTGCGGGGCTAAATTAGGGTCTCTTGCCCTGGTGGTGAATGTTGGTGTCAGAATAGCAGGAGTGCCTCTCTGCAGTGGGAGGAGACAATTTACTCTAGGAATGGGGGGTGGATGCAGGGTATCTGTGAGGGTACAGCAGCCAGGGGAGAGCATTGGATTGCACTGCTCAGATGCCTGGCTGATAGCTGTCCAGCATGGTGAAAGATTGAACAATTAATTGTTGACTGTATGTCTTTTAAATTTTATTTATGTATTTATTATTTCTATATATTTTGTATGTATAATGTATGTACACACAAAATACAAGCAGACTATTTCTGTCTTCTAGAAGCTGAAGGAGTTTTGGGGTCTTTCTTTTACATTGTGATGAGTGGTTTCCTTTTTTCTAGCCCAAGGTAGCAGAACCAAATTATATGCAAGGCCATCTGGGGCTTCAGAACTAATTTCAGCTTTAATAAAAAGTTTCACTGTGTCACTTGAATTTATTACAGCTTTGCAACTTCAGCTCCCAAAGTACGACTATTTTTGGGCTGGCTGTGATAATTTAAATCACCTCCTGGAGCTTCTAATGACTAACTTGTGTTTATGGTGAAACCTCCCATTTATCCAAACCCTGGAAGCACAATCTGTTTGATAACTCTTAAATGTACGATGCTTTTACATTGATGCCTAGTACATCAAAGCCTAAAGTCAGTTGGGACCTTCAGGTCTTTCTGTAATGAGGAGAATATGCAAATTTTGCTGTACAAATGAGACTAGACAGTACAGTTCAGATACCTCCTTTGTGCTGGCTGAAGGACCAGCTGCTGAGTAAAGCAGATAGAAGCAGATCATTTTTAGCTGGGTTGGTGTTGCCATCAACAAATTCTTTCTTGGGTGGGTTGGGTAAGAATCTGGGTGGAATGTGTCATCAAGGTGCCCTCTCCTAGATGCACCAGCTGAACATAAGTGCTTCCAGACTGTACCGTGAGCCAGTGGGCTCTGGGTAAAGCAGGAGACTTGTTTCCAAAATGACACAGTTCTTAATATTTTGTTGAAGCTGCTGTGCAAGCATCCCTCTGAAATAAGGCCATTTTCCTGTAGCTTCCTTTTCTCCTCCCTGTCGTAGGTTTGGGGAGAGTAGCTGGAAGCGCTCATCCTAGGCTTCTTTGAGCCTAGGATTTGCCTCCATTTTTCTGACTCCTTTTGGTGAAAGGCTGTACAGTCTGCTTGATTCTGTGCTTTGCTGAGATGGAGGCCAGATAGCACCACATATGTTTGTGGCTGTTTATGTGGGCATTTGAGATTTCGAAGGCACCTGCTAATGAGTTGTAGGTCATTTCATGTCAGATTGGCTAAGTTTCCATCAGGCTGTTTCTTTGTTGCGGCAAGGCATATGGACTGTGTATGTTTGGGGATCCCTATTACCTATCTCAGATGGAGAGGGCTTTCCTCCCATTTGCTGCCTCCTCTCTTGCCACAAGAAAAATATAATCATCTGATTCTGGTGAGCTGTAACCTCCAGATGGAATGAGATGTTTTGCTGTTACTTATATAGACTTTCCAGATATATACAGAGGTTAGAGAGGGGCGTGGGTATGTGACTGTATTTTGAGCTTTCCCTCCTCCTTGTTTTTGATGCTGCTGTTGGAATTCCCCCTTCCCTTTTTTTCTGGGAACCAGTGTGAAGGAATTGCTGTCACCCAGAGAAGAATTTGCTTTCCTCAAGGCCTTAGCTCTCCAGTTTAGGAGTTTGCCTGACTTCTACTGGCAGTAGTTTGTTTGTGAGCTTGCCTTACTCAAATCTTCTGGGGTAGGTCTGAAGGGAACAATTTGAGGCAGTGGAAATCTCAACTCAGAGATGCTGGGATAGAGAAGGGAAGGAAAGAACAGAGTTAGCAATACAGTTAACTTTTCCCCCCTCACCCCCCTCCTTTTTTTCTCCGTTTCCTCACCTGCCCAGCTGTGTAGTAGGTTAGCAGTACGTGTCTGTTCTTATTCTTATGAAAGTAGACTTTGTTCTCTGAAGACTGCTAATCATGCCCCATGGGGGTGTAATCAGTTATAAGGTATTTAATACAGTGCAGGCGGGAACAGGCTGCCTGGCCGGGCTGGCAGATTGCAACACTACAATTATAAAGGGCCCCTTTCCCCCACTCACCCACCCACCGGTGGCAGGATGCGGGTTGTACCTTGAAACAGTATTACGCCTATGAAACAGAAAGGTGTAGTGGGGGAAGGGAAAGCAGAGGCTGAAGAGGCAGCTCCTGTTCTGGGAAACAGGCAGACCTACGTTCTGTGAGAGCTGCAGTCATTTCAGGTTGCACTGTTGAGACTTGTGGATGTTTGGGGTTTGAGTCCTGTCACCATCAAAGTGGATTACACAGAGATGGCCCTTGGCAGCCTGTAAGAGCAGCAGGGCTTCCGTCTCCCTGAAATGGGTTTTCTTGTGGTGGCTGGGGTTGGAGAGGTATGGAGTGGTTAGAAGTGGAGGAGCCCTTTCTCCTGCATGCTGTGATTTAGACACCTAATCTGTTTGGTGCTTTTGTAAATCCTGCCAGGCTTCTATTTATATCTTTGGATATAAATCTATTGGTAAATCTGGCCTTTCATGCTGCTTTCTTCTGAGTACTGGAGCAGCTTAACCTTACTGCCTTAGAAGGGAGTAGGTGGCTTGAGGCCTTGCATTTTAATGGATTTGGGGAACTTTACTGGACCTCATCTGGTCTGTTCTTGTTGCCTAACACCAGACCATTCCCCTTGGTGAGTGCCATGAAATACACATATGGAGTGTGGAGAGGCTGGGTCGTAGCCTTATAAACCATCCCTGCTCCAGCAGCCTGCTGGATGCATTGGCGTGTTTCTGGAGCTTATGGGTACACTAACCTTTCCTCTTCCAAGTTCTCCAGAGATTACAGTGTTTCAGCCCTTCATTGGTGCTCTTTGAATTTGCTGAGGCTGTTTTGTGCAGTGATAACTTAGGTCTTCCTCTCTGTGTGTTCTCTTTGCTTCTTGGAAAGTAGAAGAGAATATGTGTTCTACTATATCCATTTGTGTTAAGCTGTTCCTGTCATTTTTGCCTCATGAAATCCTGCTCCTTTATGACATCCAGAAGTTCAGAACCTGCTCTGTGAAGCACAGCAGATAGAAGCTCTTTTTTTTGGCAGCCTT